TCGTGGCGGGAGATTATCTCGATAAATATCTGACATCGGAGATAACGGGACGGAAAGAAGTTGCCTCCTCCTTATACCGATACCCTATCGACCCACTCGCGTTCCGATGAAAACGAATAGGAATCTCCTCGCGCGACCTGACATTAATCCCACGCTTTACAGCCTCGAAATGTCTGCCGTTCGGAGCTTGTTCCGTTCCAAACTATTATACTCGCCGAAGAAGCTACGCGTGTTACGGGAGGGATCGAATCAATCAATTACCAACGATCATTCGTGATTCTACGGAACGGCTATACTCGGAATCCATCAGAATCTGCTGGATAAAGCGTCGATTCTAACAGCGTATCGATATGAATTCGATCGCAGACTGGCCATTCCGTACCTCGCACGTATAAATAACGCGTTAGACAGCGGACAGCGGCGTGTAAAGCTGGTTGCAACGTGCGCGCACCGAGTTGACGTAAGCGAGGAGGAGGAAGGAGCAGCTAATAACGTTCGACGCTCGCGTATACACGCGATACATATATGTATATGCCGGGCCATTTAACGGCTTAATATAATCGAAAAGAGCCCAGTGACGAGGATCTTTCGTCCATTTCTGAAATGGCTTTACCTGGAACGCGTCTCTGTTCACCGTCGTAGGTGAATCATCCGTTGAAGCGAGAAACAGAACTGTCCAGATAAAAGGGGAGGAGAAAGGACGGTGGACGTATTGCACCCAGGCGAATTTCGTTTGCCAAGAAGAGAAACCGCTAATAAGAGCAAAGTATTTTCGTCGTCGTTCGACGGTGATCACCTGCCAGTCGTTTTCGGTGGAGAAAAACGCGTTCACACCGATCAACGCTGAATCATCGCTCGTTCTGCGTCGTTCGAGTCAACGTTACAACACATCGGCGCGCAAAAGGAATTTCGATAAAAAGAAAAAAAGAAGAAATTCTGGCCGGCCCGATAACGGGGTCTTATCTCGATACGATCGTCATGCGATCCCCGTGTACGAATCTTTTCGCGTAACGGAGTCTACCGGTCGCTTATGAATCTAATTTACGAGCATTTCGGTTAACCTGTTAACCGTGCAGCGGTAAACTTTCAATCAGGACGAACGATTGGAAATCGCGCGGATAAAAAGATAATCTATCGGTGTGAAAGCGAGACGAGTGACGTTTGATAAGTTATCTCACGGACGAGATAACTCGTCTTCTTCGGATAACAGGTATTAACAAGCAGCAACGGCGAGTGTCAACATAGAGAAGGAAAAAGACAACGACAGGAAGTAACCGATAGAGCAAGCTACCTATCGAGACGACGCGGAACGTCTAATGGCTATTAATTAGACAAATGTTCGCTATATTAAGCGACGGCCGATGCAGCCTGTTGGAAATAGCCCCGGTTCTCGCGGCATAACACGCAGTTTCCCCTTGTTTCGTCTATCGGCTATCATCAACCGGTGTTTTTCGAGCCTCTCGTCGTCGCTGCACCGATGCAACCGCCGCTCGTCGCCCGGAGATCTGTAGATCTCTCGATTGAACCACCGATAAAAACCCGAATTAACCTATGTTTTTCTCGTCGTTTCCCGTCACTTGGAACGTTAGACACTCTCCAGACACCGTGTTCACGCGCGAAAGGAGAACGTTCTCGTTCGATCTCCGCTGGCCTCTCGCAGACGGAATATACATCTACCGTAACAGCTTGCACGTGTGTACACAGAAGCGCGAAAACGCTTGCACCGTCCTTTTAAATCACCACTTGTAGCCTGTGTACCGAGTAACAAGTACGTCGAAATTCTTGCACCTTTTCCTCGATTTGCCACCGATCGGCTCGAAACGAAGTAACGTGGACGCGGTGAGCGGAGCGCGGGAGATTCGAAATGCGTAAAGGCGCGACGCGTCGCAACAGAGTGCATTCGCAGAAGGAGCGTACTTCAAACTGGCGCCATGAGATTCGACGAGGACGTAGGTAGGTGTGTACCTATAGTTAATACCGGGTGGCACGAGAAACAGTGCGACTCGGTGGCGCAGGCGCGGCCGACGCGCGGATCCCTCGGATGTCGTCGAAAGCTCCGAGACACACAGAACTGGCTCCCACCTTGTCTCGTGAATTGCAACCGACCACGAGAGTGGAATTAGACACGCGCCGCTTGCTGATCCGCGATTTACGCGCGTTCACCCCGACACCAACTCGAGCCTTTAGGAGCTCTCGACGACTGACACACGACGTCCCTTCGTCGAGGGTGTACGCTCTCTCCTAATGCCTCTCCTTATCGTGAGTTAGGTCGACGTGTCGAGTCCTTGGGACATTTCGAAAAAGCCACTTTCTTCTCGAGATTCTGTGCGCGTGAATTCAAAATACGTCGATCTGAAAGTAAAAATTCCAAGTGGACAAAAGTAGCAGAAACACCTGGCAGAAGCTCGACGACCAGTCGATAAAAAGTGTAAGATCAGGGTGTAAAACGACACCGTGGCATTTCGTCGCGCTCGTTAACGCTTTCGATTACACAAGCCGAGGCGTGTTTCTTCGCGGCGCGAAACGATACAGGAAAACGCATTAACGGAACCGATCGCCCTGAAACATTGGCACTGTCGCGCGGAAGTTGTCTCGCGAATCGTTTAAATCTTCTCTCTTTCGAGCTGCGTGCAGAGTGTCCGGCGAGGAGAAAGGAGAATTCGCCCCGGTCGGTGTTATTAGGGTGCGTTTCCCGCGCGAGTTTAATCATTATCATTACTATTCACGCAGCCTGGTTTCTCGCGGAAGCGAAACTTTTATCCGTTTTTTGCGAAAATCTCCGATCGTGAAAGATCCAGCCGGGCTACGGTGAAAGGATTCGTCAGATTTTTCTCTCGATCGCAATTGTAGATTACGCACAACCGACGTCGGTTCGGATTCGTTACGTCTCGAATTCATGGCACATTTCGCGCTAATAGCCGCGCGATTTCCGGATGCAGAGGCTCGAGCCTCCCCCGAGAGCTGCGCAGATTCGCCATGAAATGTGTGACACGAGCCGACAAGATTTTGGCATGGCTGACCAACCGCGAGCAACGTCAAAACGCGCAAGACAGCCTGTCGTTAAACGCACGCGCTAGCTTTTGGATTTTTGCCCGCTGATTCTAATTCCCACTATGGGCAAACACCTTTTCCCAATCATTTATATTCCTCCTGGTTATTTTAACGAAGAAACGAGCAAAGTGTAAAATTCTTTTTACCTCGCTACGAGTAACAGAAGAAAGAGATCGACCTGAGCTGACAGAAACGATCCAAGGTAAAAAATCAGCGTGAACAGAGGCTCTGAACGAATCACCTTGGCAGTGAGTTGCTGACTTATTCTGGTCCGGACGTGAGTGAGATTTATTTGACGTGGTCATATATTTTGGCTAACCGCGGATTTCTAGGACGTTCGCCGTGAGTAAGCGTGGAACGACTTTGAAACAATAAACGATCATTTGCAATCTCGCTAACCAACGCGACAACCTGAAGTTACGCAGACTTCCTCTCCGTTTTTCACCCATCTTCCTCTTCTCGTCGCTTGACGCAATCGCCGGTGTCAAGTGTAACGAATTCGAAAATAGCTTCGTGACTTATCGTCATCGATCGCTGACGTCGTTAATCTCCCGAGTGAAAAGCAACGTAATTACCGGAGACGTGTGACGAGCGTCGATATCGGGATTTCGTAAAATGTCGTCTCTCGAATAATTCGCGTTGCGTAACCGGTCGCCCGCAGCTTTCGTGAACACACACGCGGCCTGAAATACGCGCGGAACGTACACGCGTTCGGGAAGGCAACGTTCGTCGAATCCCGCGAATATTGCCTGCGGTAAATTTCAACGAAAATTGCTAAATTCCTCCGAATCCAAAATTAAGCGACATTGACGGATAAAATGAGCGATCCGCGTAGGTTCGCCTCGGAAAGGGTCTCGCGTTATTAATCACGATAGACGTTCGTGGAAAAATTTCAGTAGGTTAGGGGAATATAGGAATCCCTGTGCAGCTATCGATAAGTCAGGGACAAGCTCATGAACCGTGAAACGCAGACAGATTATTGTCTCCGTTCCCCAGAGTAACGGGAACGTCTCTTTAATGACTCCATTAAATCAAAGAAAATGGCTGATAGTCCATTGCGCACTTGAACGAGCTCGTACGTCATCCAAACTTTCGAACGATCGGTTTCCACCGGAATTACCCAAGTGATATGTAACTGAAAGTAATCCAACGTTTCTTTTCCACGTGGAAACCGATAAATTCGTAAAGTTTCCTCGTGTAGCGTGCCTATCGTCTTTTCACCAAGGATAACGATAATTCTCTAACCCTTAACCAATTTCCATAGCAAATGAATCGCCCTTACAGTCTGCAATCGTTATTGCTGCAAGATTCCTGGAGTGTGCAGTCAGTGCGTTCCTCCTCGTGAATATCAGGCGGCGGGGCAGCGAGCGGAGAAGCGCTTCCCAGGCTCAAAGAGAACGCTCTCCTTACTCCCCGTCTCCTCATCGCGAAATTCCGCTCTCTGGATGGAAATCGCGGCGTTTTCTTCCTCATCTCCGTCAGCTCCTTCACGGAGAGTCCGTCGTCCCAAACCATGTTCGTCCTCGTTAATTAACACTCGCGACGGGGAACACTCGGCGCAAACCGGATCGAAACCGTCTCTACTCCGTCGTGAAAAAGGGAGCTCTCTCTGAATTTCCACTGGGTCGAAACAAGAGGCTTATCGTTCGAATGCAAACAACACAGAGATAAGAGGAGTGGAGAACCGGTGGCCCGACCTTCCACCGCGACACCACTGAAACCAAACGCGGCTGAATGAGGCCAGTCGGCTGAACGACGTCTCATTGGATCCCCCAGGCTGGCAAATCGAATTAAGTTAATACGGTTATGGAATCTAGCGGCCTGCCTCCTAGGCTATCTCGTTCGAGAACTTCGTGACGCGCGTCACGCGAGAACTGTGCACAACGCGAAGCACGACAACTACTGAATTCAATCGTCGCTGTATGAGCAGCTATTAATGTACACCAATCCCTCTGCAGCATCGACAACCAGGGGAATCGGCGATCGCGTGAAAACCTCTGCCACGTCGATCCATGCGCGACTTTCAACTGGCTCGACGCTGCTCGTCCTCCGCCGTAACACGCGGCGCGTTCCGCTCGGGAACAGCTCGCGCGACAACCAAGCGACGTCGACGACCTTCGTACGATAGTCTCCATTACGAACGGCCAAAGGTAAAAGTCTACTAGCGGTAATACCGGAGAGTTCGTGCCGTTTTCACCTATGCTAGCGTAATCACCAGTCACGCTCACGTGTAGAAATCGATTCGCGTAGTTGATTCGAAGCCACCGAGTTTCTATCGCGACGGTATTCACGCGTTGCCAAGAAAATGGCAAAAGGTCGTCGAGGATTTTTCATTTCTGATGGAGATTTCTTTCGGAAAATTCATTTCTAATCGATTCCCATTTCAACTCTGTACTGAAACACCGAGTACTCGAGGTTACCAAAAAAAAAAAAAAAAAAAAAAAAAAACAAATTTCGCGTACAAATTGTAGAAAGTTACTCGGAGCGATTTCTAAAGAAGAATTCATCCTTGGAGAACGACGCCAAGTATCGTCGGTAGAAAAACTGCCGGGGGCGGGGGAAAAATGATTAGTCGAAACTGCATAAACTTTCCAGATGACCTAATGGTTTCCAGCGACTCGTGTCCCATTAAGCGGCGCTAATTCGATCCGTTGTGAATTCCAGCGAAATGCAAGCTAAAGCCTTAAGTCGTAACACGTGCCTACGCCATCAAGAAGGTTAATATGCACACGGGTTCGTAACACGTCCCGCCACGTGAATCACCGTAGCCGCGATTACGCTGCGGCAACGAGCAGCTAGCCGTAAAGCGTTCGAAAGCCTCTAATCGGAACTTGAACGCGGCACGTACGCGAACAGAAACGAGCGAGTGCGGCTCAGGCTATTGGGCAATTGACGAGAGGAGAACCTTGTTGCTCGACATTCAGCCGGACTTTGACTCTCTACATGCTTCTGTTGCTGCTGCTACCGAACGTCTGGGCAGCTGCGATCTCGCGCGAGCCTCGCCTCTAATCGTTCTCCCCCTTCGTCGTAAATTCAATCCCGAGTTCAAAGATCTTATCGTCCGCTTATTTACAGTGGCCGACTGTCGATCGGGACACAGAGAGAGACGTGGAACTTTCGAGTACGAACGACAATTAACCTGTTCACTTGGTAAATTCTTCGAAGCAGAGAACGCTAATTTGCCTTGCCCAACAGCAGTTTCAGCCGTGTACGTCATTTCTAACGTAAATATAACGAGTCGAGATGGAAGATAAAGTGATTCACCGATAAAGAATTGATTCAGTTCGAAAAGGGAAAGATGTTTGTTGAAACGACGATAGAGCTACTCGTGTGGAACGGTTGAAAGGTTAATCGTTAAAGGAGTAGAACGCGACGCGGAGTATACTTTTAATCGCGCGGAACCAACTGGCCTCGCGGCTCGTCGCGTATTCACGGGGGCACTGGAAGCACTTCACAACTGGGAGAGACTACAATGCCAGTGGTGTCCTCGTCGATAAGGATTATCACCAACGAATAACCTCGTTATCTCCGGTCCCGGGTGCCGTCGCGAGCGTCCCTTGATACGCTAAAAGGACGTTAAAACGTGCATTTGCATACAATTCGATTCTTCAGAAACGTTCTATCTTTCGGTGGTTATTTTCGTTCGTTACGTCGCTGCAATTTCCCCTCGTTTCTCCGAACTGTCATTTTTTTATCGTTCGACAACTGAAATACTCGCGTTCGAGTGTGATCGTTCGAAGCGTAACAGATTATCGGGATTAAATAGGGAGCAACCCTTTCGACGGGGTGAAAAACGTTAATTCCTTGATAGGAAAGTCA